AGGAAAATAACTCATAATGCAATAATTAATTATATAATCATAACCACTCTGATTATTTAAAAAAAAAAAGTGATTGAGATTAATAAACGATACAATTTTCCTTACATCATAGGAGTTCAAGGTTTTTTTTACTATGAATTGCAGAATTTATCTTCATAAGCAATAATGGAAGCCGCGCCAAATATTAGCTGATTTATGATAAGTTCTCCTTGCGAGAAAAAAAAAAAATTTGTTAAAGATATAAGCAATAACTTATGACTAGATTATTTCATTGGTACGATTCATCCAATTTCGAAAGTTATTTCAGGGCCACGTTGGAATAGTCGAGGTGCGCACAAGCTAATCCGGACATCTACGGTTATAAAAAAAACTAAGAATTTTAAAATTATCATAACTATTTCGATATCTTTTTATTTCCTTTTTATCAGCACATCGAATGTTCGTGAATTCATTTTGTTCTCCCATTTAGCGCTCCGAAAGGGTCAAATTAACTAAGAAATTTATAATCACGTGTGACTTATAATATGATCATTCTAAGAAATTCAATGTTTAACATCATTAAAAGCATAAATGCTAAATAACTTTCGGAATCGGACATCAATGAGACTATAAAATCAACTTACGTACGTAACCTTGCAGTTACAAATTGCGTACGTGTCGTGTGAACAGTTAACATCTAGATAGATTTTTTCGTCAAGGGAATACTAAATACCCGCTTACTTATTGTTATAGTTTGATTATATAATTATCACACTTATAAAAAGTCAGAACTTAATTTCTTTTTCTCAATAAACAATGGTTTGGCTAAGCCTAGTGGGGTGTGTTCCTAACCACTCTAGCAATATTTAAGAATTTTCAATTGAAGTAAGAATATTCTTAATTTATCATAACTATTTTGATATTTCTTTTTTTCCTTTTTATTAGCAGAATGTTTGCGAATTCATGCTTCGAAGAAGGGGCCAAATTAATATAACTTTTTTTTTTTTAAATTTATAATTTCACTTGTGACTTATAATTCAAAGAAATTCAATTTCTAACATCATTAAAAGCGTAAATAACTTTCAAAATTGGACATCAATGAGACTATAAAAATCAATTTACGTAACCTTTCAGTTGTGTACACATTTAATGTTCGAGTAGACATTTTTCGTCAAGTGGTTAAGCATTTACGTGAGGACTTCAAAATATATGTATTTTTTTCATCTGTTAATTGTGATTCATCAATATTGAATATTAATAGCAAAAGAGAGGTCCCGTGGCGTTATTGAAAAAATATTAAAATATTTTTTTCACAAGGTTTTATTAAAAACTTTTAAATAACAGAGGAAAATTAGTTTACGCTCATGTTTAGTTTAGATAAAAATTATATTTTTATTAAATTTGATGAATATGCGGTTGAAAATTATTTTTAGAAACAACGAATTTTAAAAAATGAGGTCAAACTGCTGTGTGTAATCGTAAAATTCCCTCCATTCTTAGACCATTTGTGACTAAAAGCTTGTTTGGTAACACTAAAAATCCAATTGAAATTGAAAATATAGTCGTTATTGGGTCCCACCCGTCTAATAAAAGTCAACAATAACGGCTAGTTTTTCAATTTTAATTCGATTTTAATCTCTATCAAACACACTATATGAATCCTCGTTGTTCAAATATAATT